TATCCTTTATTGCAGCCCAGTCGGCATCAGGCCGGACTGGAAGTAGACTAGATCAGTGATTAGAAGTAGAGTAGTGTCGGAAACTTGCCATGCCCGCAGCTACCACGAGAACTAACTATCGTGTATCAGCCTTGACTGAATCTGAGACGAAAATGTTGGGCTCCCTGCCTAGTCTCGAGTCGGATGTATTGGCAGTGCTAAAAAGTCTGGCCGCACTTGTCTCCGAGGCAGCCGATCGCGAGGATCGCCTGAACAATAGGTTCGATGAGCTATCCAGACAAGTATCTAAGCTGAAGGAGGAGGTAGCTTCTCTCAAAGAATCCGCCATTGCCATGGCGAAAGCTCCTCGGCCATGCCAGCCAGGACGTACTACGAACAGTGATCGTACCCGTACTGACCCCCGCACAGCCTGCAGGCCGTGTAGCAGGGGTTCGAGTACGAGTAGATCTACCAGCGCGCCGAACCAAGGTCCAGCATCCGACGCGCCCCGTGCTGAATTTGAAAATGATGCTCGCCCAGCAGCCAGTCCTGGCCACAATGTGGACAGCGTGAGCGAGAGTGACGCGGATGACGGTTTTCAGCAGCCGCGGAGACGAAAGCGCAACAAGAGCACAAAGGTGTTGCAGCCCATCTCCGACGATGCATGGAATTTCATTGCAAATGAGCCCCACAGAGCGAAGGGAGCTGTCGTGTATGTTGGTAATCTCAGCAGGGAGACAACTGAAGACCGGGTACGCCAATTTGTTGATTTGCGTAGCAGGGCCGTCAACTCCGACACACCAGTAGTCCCTATTTACCTCTAGCATGCATATCAATGATAGCGGCTGCATATCTGCAACAGAAATGGTGGATGCCAGCTCCTTGCATGTCCTGCTGGCTGCCAACTTCTGGCCAAGGCCACTTTACTGCAGGAGGTGGACCTTCCACACATCCGACAGTCACAAGACGGCACCAGGGTCAGCTCAGCCTGGTTGCGCACCAACTTTGCCGACCAATGATAAAGAATGATGGCAGCATTGTGCGACACTAAGTGTAAACTACTTCTAACTAATGCATTTGGGCTGATGTGTAAGCTTGGTGAATTCCAGCACGTAGTCACCACACACCTACCAGACATTGCCATTGTCACGGAGACGAATTTCCCGGCAGAGAAATGTACGATTGTGGATGCCATGCTGCCAGGTTACCAAACGCCCATCCTCCGTGACCGTACATGACCTGGTGGAGGAGTAGCTGTGTGGTCGCGGTCCGGTCTGGCCTACAGACATCTGGAGCAGGTGAGCTGCGGTGACCTGGAGGTAATATGGATAACTGTGCCACTATAATTGGGCAACAACGTAGTGGTGTGTGCCGCTTACCGGCCAGGCTCGTGTTCTGACAGTGACATCTCCATGATCGAGCATATTGATAGCACAATTGACAGAGTGCGGCAGCAAGGATCTAACATCATTATTGCCGGCGATTTCAATGTGCACAACCGAGCTTGGCTCCACAGCACCACGACGAGCGTTGCTGTTGAAGCTGCAGAGGACATGTGCGCACTCCCTGGTCTCACCCAACATGTACTGGAACCCACCCGCGATGCTAACACGTTGGACCTGGTCATGACGGACTTCCAAGACCCCGTCCACATTCAGGTAAAAAAAAAGTAAATTATGAAATCCGTTCCCGAAGGGAACTCACGACGGCCGCTAACACCCGATAAACCCTAGCGGCAGACCTGGACCACATTCAGGTACTGCCCCCAATTTGCAAGTCTGACCATGCTGTCATCATAGCTACATGTAGTTCTCAGCTGCAGAGAGAGAAGAGCACGCGGAGAACCGTCTGGCGCTACAAGAAAGCAGACTGGCCTCGCCTACAGCACTTCTACTGAACCACAGATTGGGACGCACTGCACTCACCTGATGTTGATGAATACACCCGGGCGGTGACTAGCCACATTCTTCTGGGTATGCAGAAGTTCATACCATCTAGGAGACTTGTAGCACGCCCATCTGATAAACCATGGTGGACACCGGAATGCTCTGACGCTGTCAAAGAGAAGCAAAGAGCTTGGCGGCATTGGCACTCACAACCTTGTGTTGCTAATCAGAGCACATACAAGATAACCTGCACAAATGCCCGCCTCCGCATTTCTGCTGCAAAGTCAATCCACCGTCAGTGTCTTCGAGCTCGACTGCAAGCAGGTTGTGGAAACGATAAAGAGTGGTGGCAATCTTTGAAGCAAGCCAGTGGCCATGGACGCAACTCTGGCATACCTACTATCATGGATCGTGGTGGCAATTAACACTCCACCAATAGTAGCAAAGCTGAGGCGTTTGGGAAGGATTTTGCTGGGAAATGCTCTCTTGTGGATGATTTCGAGGATGAGCCTCTCCCACATGTACAGCCTAAGTCTACCGCCCCCTTGCACCAAGTGAATATCAGGGAACCAGCTGTAGCCCGAGCCCTCCTTCCGCTTGACACCTTCAAAGCAACAGGACCTGAAAACACCCCA